ATACAACTGCTGATGCAGCCTAGACTCCTCCACCCCCACAGCTTCACTTCTTGCACACTTCGCCTTGGCCTTACAGGAACAGGGCGGCAACGGCACCCGCGAAGAGAGCCATGCCGGCGCCCTGGGTGCGGCTGACGGCGCCGTTGGGCAGGGGAACGGTGCCGTTGCCGGAAGGGAGAGGAGCGGCGCTGGGAGCGGCGCCGGCAGGAGGAGCAGCAGGGACGCTGTAGACGGGGGCAGCAGGAGGAGCGGCGGGGGCGCTGTAGGCCGGAGCAGCGGGAACAGAGGGGGAGCCGGCAGGCGAGGACTGAGCGGGTGGAACGCCGGCGGAAGTGGGGAAGGCCGGGGCCGAGCTGTTGCCGGGCACGGGGTAAGCCGGGAGGGAGGAGGCAGCAGGAGCCGACGCGGGGCCGCTGGGGACGGTAGGGGGGGCAGTGAGAGCGGGAGCCGAGCTGCCGGGGACCGGGTAGCCCGAGGGGCCGCTGGCAGGACCGCTGGCAGCAGGGCCGCTGGCAGCCGGAACAGTCTGCGTGCTCAGGGTGACGACGGCGGTCTCGGTCGGCTGGGCAGCGCTGTTGGCCGGCGAAGAGGCAGCCGAGGGGGAGCCGGCAGAGGACGGGGCCGGCGTCTGGTTGGCCGTCTTGGTCTTGGCAGCCTCGACGGGGCAGATGGTGACGGTCTCGGGGACGACGACGGTGGTGGTCTGCTTGCCGTTGGCCGGGCAGTTGGTGACGGTGGGAGCGCAGCTGATGACGGTGTGCATCGAGGTGACGCTGACCGTGCTGGTGGTCCAGACGTGCTCGGGCTGCTCCGGCTTGCAGGCATCGCCACAAGGGTGAACCCAGTGCCAGCCATCGCTGTCCTCGTCGTCGCACTGGTCAATCACCACGCCGTGGTGGCTCGGGTGCCACACGTTGACGTGGCCGGGGGGAGGGTTGGCAGAGGGCTTCTCCGCCGCAGCCGCCGGCAGTTGGAGGCCTTGGGGCAGGTGGAGCTTGAGGTCGGCACCGAGGTCGATGGTGTTGAACATGTCGACGTTGAGGCCCAGCTCAAGGAGGCTGGTACCGGCAACAGCCGTGGCGGCCGTGGCAGCAAGAAGAATGGACTTCATGGTGATGGAAACGAATTGGTTTTGAGTGAGTGGACGGGTCAAAAGAGCCCAAAGGGGTGCGTCGAAGAACAAAGAGCGGAGGGGTGGAAGATGCAAACGAGGCTTGCTGAGGGGAGCAGAGTCAAGAGAAAAGCTGGGCATCAAGGAGGCGAGATGATGGTCTTAAGTAGCCCTCCAAGGTCTGCTTCATCCGGATCAGAGGTGCCTGTCCTTCATCTCTCATCCGACCCCCCCCCC